CATATATGTGGTATCGTAGTTCAAGCTGCAAATGTACTGGGATTCGTCTTGGGGTGTTTTACTCGGGACCACATTCCCGTACCTTACCGATGTTCTACAATGTTGGTTCAATCCAGTATAACACGGCCAATAAACAATTGACAGAGTGCCACAACACATGATCAAAAACAATAAAAAGGAGGAAAAGTAATGCCATCGAATAAATTAGGAGGGTTTATGTGTTGCGTGGGCAGTGAGCTTCCCGGTTGCCCAGGCCGAGGAAGAGGGTTGACTTAAGGGGACCCCATCCTGAGCCTTTAGTTTTAGAGACCTGACGCGCAAGGCAGCCAGGCGATTCAGGCCGGTTTCACAATACGAAGATCGTTAACAACCAGGTGGCTGATTCGCCTTCTTTGTGTTCGGTTGCAGTCCACACAGAAGCCGGTGACTAGCAAGGTTGTTCATCCGACCTCCGATCGGTACTCACCTCTGGGTACAGAGGTGAGTGCACAGTGACCCTATAGTCGGCCACAGTGGCTTTGACGCAGCGCCGTACGAGCTCTTTTCCTATTTGAGGGAGAACCGGGTAACCAGCCCGGAACTCCCCAAACTCTGAGACGCTGTCGCTGTTGGTCCGCGGCTACTTATTCATATCAGCTGCAAAGCAGACGAGACTTATACGCAGGTACTTCCACAAGGAAGGCATTCCTTAATCTGTAACCTAGAGAGGCGCCTGATACCGAACATCTCCACCAAGGGAGGGTCGATCCAGCTCTCCAATTTGCCATAGCAATTCATCTGTGTGATCCCGCAACATATCTTTAAGCCTTTCCAGTGTACGTCCAGCAATGACCAGGTCAAAAGAGTGAACAAAGGCGTTCACCTAATTTCGCTGTCTGTACTGCCCTCATAAATTGTAAAAGCAGTTATCCCTGATTGGTTGACACTTGTCCAGATTCAATCGACATTTCAAAGGGCGTAACAAGTTCATTCTAATAACAAAATTACCTGGTTCTGTCAGTGATAATGAACTCATAGCTGTTGCTCTCGTTATCAATTTCAACCCTTGCAGTCATGGATTCCCGAACAGACAAGGGTTTCCGTTGGAGATAGATTGTAATAACAAGGTGTCCACACGCAGTCTAGCAGCACTTAGTTTGGATATAACAAGGCACTTAAATCTATCGGTGTCGATGCGAACTGCTAACCGGTTCCCGGCAACTCGTAATCCCAACGTCAGGGCTAAGGTTGGAGTCAACGTGCAGATAACTGCTGGTATGAAATCTGTTTGTACACGGTCACACTCACCTGGTGATCTCCTGTTGTCACCAAGTGGATGGTAGCGTCCGCTATTCGGTGGTTGTGGTCGAAGCATCCCAAAACCCAATTGGATTGGCTGCCGTGGACCGGGACATCTGTGGCGGACATAGTAGTCTGGTCTGTGTTCCTGTGGGAAATTCCACTGGCTGCTTCCTTGTAAGGCAAAGCAACTTGATGCATAGATGCCCACTGTTGCATCTACTTGCTCCAACTGTGCACCCTTTCGGGACGCTGTGTCCATACGCCCGGGGGACGTAACAGGAATTCAGTTTCTATAGAAGTCATTTGAATGCCTTCAAGGATCTGTTGTATGGTGCGTATCTCAAGTTGATCGACGTTCCTTCCTTTTAAGCAGTCTCGGCAATCTTCCGCAGTCCAAGTAGATATTCCCCGATGCTTTGCCCTGGCCACTGGTGTAGCGCGCAGAACTCTCAGCAGCGTGGAGCGGGCAAGGCGGGATGATCCAGCAAGCGACGATGGGGCACGAACGTCTCCGTCGTAAGTTAATTACCTAGGAACACACTATCGGCGACGGTACCAAACGGACCTGAGAACAACTCCAAAATCACACTCCTGTGTTGCAGTGCTGGGAAGTGGCGTGGATTTATCTGAACCAGTTTCTCCCATCCGATGTACGGCATTCATCGGATGGTATACAGACCGCAGACATCGAAATAGTCAACAATTTCTCTAAACTACGAAGCAGCAAGTCTAACGGTGCAGAAACCTTAATGCTGGAGTCACCGGCCGTGGCCTAATTTCCTTCGTCGGACTGTTTTCATGTTTTCTGCATGTTGCTTTATTAGATCCTGGTAGGGTCGCCAATTTATAACCTACAACGCATGAAGAACTGTAAGTGTAAAGCGGGAGCAAGTAGCCAGTTTCGACGAGAACAAATATAAGTGTAAACAGAATATAAATAACCCCATGATTAGCAGACTTCTCCGTCTTTACGCCACGTGTTGTAACAGCACAGCAGTGCAACTCTGAAAGGTTTGCATATATATATATATATATATATATATATATATATATATAAAACACCTTATGCTGAGGCTGATGCTGCATTCGTGATTCTTTTTCGCCGCAGTTGGGCTAAACCAACTTACACTTAAACGAGGTCTTTTAACTTGAATAAATTTCATTCCACTTTATGTGGTTTTGTTCTGCCAACCTGAATAATCTTCTATTAACTGTCCACGTTGCTTACACTAATTGCGCTTACCTTCGGCAACTTTGTTTAGTTTGTAGCATTTTTAAGTAAGCTGTAGACATTTATTCCTTACCGCGGATTCGTTGCTAACCAACTTATTTCATATGCTAATTTAGTGAAGAGTTATGTCACCGTAACTCTAGCATTATGGGATTTAATCTATTTCATCTTATCGTTTCAAGTGACTGGCTGTTGCTTGATATCCCCGATGTGGCTGCGTTCGATGTACATGTTGACAAGGGGCCTACTTGTCTATTACCCACTACCTCGTCCATACTGGCTCCAGGAGATAGTTGGTCGTTGCTGGAGGGGACGGGGTACACGGTCCTTGTGGTCGTGCTAGGCTCGAGCAGCGGTTCCATACAGTTAGTGTGGACGGACTACGGTCCAGCCACTGCCTTGTGTGCGACTGATTTTCCAAATACAAGGTGCTTGTGTTGCCTGTGATGGTGTGTGGTCCGACTCCGTTGATGACACTTGGCCCCCATCCACATGTCTCCAGGTCATACTGCTTCGGGTTTACACTGGATATGGGGTTTGTGGATGGAGCTGTGGGTGGTGCAGCACCGCCATCCAAGGTCCCTCAGTAGGCGCAAGCGTTCTGTGGCTCTTCTGTTGAGGCCACAGTGACAGGCAAATTCGGAACCAGATACCGCCAACCATATATATATATATATATATATATATATATATATATATATATATATATATATATATATATATATATATATATACTGAATACTGTAGTATAGAGCAAGTAGAAATGGATTCTGTACAACTCTTTCGAGATATGGCGAAAAACGTTATAAAAGTTGTCAACCTTGAATATCATTGTCGTTCTCATGTAATATTTAAAATATTCGACTTACGATATTTCAGGATTCACAAATGTGATGTCATCATAAGTGTGCAGTCGTTCTCTGAATCGAATAGAGGCAAAATGCAAATCTAACAACGTTTTGAACTGTTGCACAGATGTTGCCTCACTCACATGTTCGAGCAAACTATTCCAAATGTTTACCACTCTCCGTTCGAAGCACAGTGGGTGGGGAACACGTTTCATATCCGGCACAACAAGTTTGTATCTGTGTATAGAGGTTGGTCACACAGGATACGCTTAATCTGGTGCTGGAGGACTGTAGTGACTAGCTATCATGAGCCACAGTCTGTCATACACCGGATGTGACCCGCGATTTAATACAATTGTGTCAGCAGACGGATCATGATATGGCCATGTTCGCACTTTACTGTTGTGTTGCTACTTACAGCAACGTACTACCCCATCTAAAGTACACAATCAAGTTCGTTATTTGGACGTTGCATAACACAAATAAACTGCTTGCGCTTGTTGGTTTTGCTTTTGTTGCATCTATAAGCGCTATTTTTTCGACATATGAATTGGCTTTACTCTAGTAACCTGCTGAGCTTTTTAAACATTTACCAGTTTGCCCACTGTTCTATTATTCTGGTCTCAAGACGACAAGTGCAAAAGATGGCTGTACATTGTTTTTTAATCACTGTATTTAGTTACCTAATCGCTGATATGCTAAATAATTTTCCTTGACCTACATTTACTGAAATTATAGGTCGCATTGGTGCACGGAAAGCAGTATGGGTGCTGAGCGTTTTGGCTCGTCTCACAAGTGGTGATAACTATATCGGCGCAGTTTGCTGTGTGATTTGCTTTCATTGCGTTCCAAAGTTCGTCGCGTATCCACTGCATTTAAGGCATAAACTTCGTTGCCTCCACTCTATCAATTTGTCATTATACTGCTTTCTATTTTGATGGGCCGTATATCTTTTGCATGGCTTCCGTACTGTGAAGTTTGGCAAGTGCTTGCCATTGTAGCTGTAACAAATCATAGTACATTGTATGTTGTTTTGTCGACCTCAAGATAGCTCACATTGTGACATTTGCAACAAGCATCTGCCTTATTCCCTTAAGCACTCCTGCTAGGTTTTGCTCAACAATAGACTCCTTTACTTTTCATTGTTAACTTCGGTGGATTGCGGAGCTCGGTTATGTGTACTACGAAATTGGGCCGTATCGAATGTATCCTCTGCAAAATAGTAGATGACCTATTGCAATTCGAAACTTTACAGCTTCCGTCCGATTCCTTTCATGGAAGTGCCAACTTCCAGGACTTTAATCTGAATCCACCACTTAATGAAACGCTGACCACAGAATCAGTTTGGGTACTACTAAACTTAGGCGAAACATGACGCAGCTACGTTCACTTGTAGGTGAAATAGGCATGCATATATCGACATTTAAAATTCCGAGTTTCGAACTGCGTCCTTACACAACACGGGTTCATAGCAGCCAAATAAAAGGGCTGTGGCTAAATGATAGCAAACTGGTTTAGCGGAAACCTTTAAATTTGTAGGTGTCCTGTGATGGGGTAGGGTTATTAGTATGACATTTATGTGTAGTTCGACTGCTGATTACTTATAGTGATAATTTGTAAGGAAAATCTGTTTTTCTCAGCGAATTTGGTGTTCGTCGAACGAAGCGTGAAGATAAGGAACAAGTTCAGGAACTTATCAGTAACATGCACCTAGACGATCAGGCGCTACTGATGGGCGATCTGGAGGCATACATCAACCAAGGTCGTACTGAAGTAAGTCAAGCTCGTTCACATTCAACAACACATGAAGTGAGCTGAGTTAACAACACACATTGTAAAGCCATCCTGTTCCTTATGCGTAATTACAGCTTTGTGGCATGATGAAAAGCTCAGCCGAACTTACCGGATTTCGCTGTGTAACTAACTGGCTGTCGCAAGAATCATTGAAAATCTTCAGCATTTGCAAATGCAGGATGCATCGAAAACAAACAAATGGCGCCTTCATACAGAAATATAAATAAATAAATAAAGCAATGGTTCGATCTCCATTAGGGGACTGAGGGAATGCGCACCACTGACGAGCTCCAATAGGGCGAAACCTGTCTGGCGCTTTTTCGGACTAGGCTGTGCTATGTAGCTTGTGAGCAGTTGGGACGAAAACATTACCATTGTGGTTACGATTTTAATGGGTCATGAGATCATGCTAGTGGTTTAGTGAGCGTGGAACTTTCCTAGTTGATTCGTGCTACAGACCATGCACATGTAAGGTACTATTCCTCTCCATTAGGCCCGTGAACTGGTACCTAGTTGGTGTGGTATTTTACATCGAGTGAATGACCCACGTAGCAAGGCAGGTCTGACCGGCCGGAGTAAGTTTGCTCTCCACACAGTTGAGATCTCCATTCCATCCGTTCTAAACACATAGCCATTGGTTTAATCGATTTCGATCGCCTCAGCAATTAGTTTCTGGGGATTCACTCTCACACCTCTCCTGAGGATCTCCACACAAACTAGATGGAGCTGATGTCTGATGTCCAGCCTATGTACCGACACGTTAGAAGCCCTTAAGAGAGTTCAGTATCCTAGCTCGGTGGTCGCAAAACCGAAGTTGTTCAAGCTGAGTGGGACTGAGTTGTCTCACAAAGCTGGTTGGGGCCTAATAACCACATATTCACTGCATTGATTTGATTAACTTGTTAGCTTGAAAACAGAATATCATTGACCCTCACCCATATTTTGTTAGTCTTGTGATTGGTCCTGTCAGTGCATCAATTATGAAGAAACTAACGGTCTATTAACATGCTTGCGGAGATTACCTCTAAATTACAGCCTATACCATGCACCCATTTCAGGACGGCACAGTGATCACCAGCTTTGTTGCAGAAGCAATGAACAGAATAGTTGGAATCGTTATTCTGAGGGAAGAAAGGGTACGTTTGACTTGGTCATAAATTAAGTTGCTACATACTTCAGTTGTAATACATTTGTGTAGTATGTTAATTAATTGCCTACTATACACCCATGCCTGGGAAAAGACACATGGGACTCCATAGATCATGTAGTGACAAGCCCCCTCAGGAGTAAAGTTCAAGGCTGCCACATTGGCAGTGTGCACTCCGATCCGTGTGAAGTTGTCCGGAACACCCCCTGGGATTCAACAAGACTGAAATCACACTTCAAATGGCCCAGGTACACCATCGAAACAGCTCTGCTATTTTTGTCCGTAATAATGCGTCAGCAAGTTTAAAATCCATCCGTCGTGAGGCAACAGGAGTTCATATACCCTTCCATTTCACTTGCCTCCAGGTATCTGTCCTTTGGTCATACCACTAGCCTACACACGCATGCAAATCAACGTAGTCGTCCTGTTTATCCCACTTGATTGTGGTGCTTTTATCTAACTGTCTCAATATGCTCAGAGAAATCTGGTTGGATAGCTCGATACGTTGGTGCCTCAGCTCAGATTTTCCTCCCTCCACATGCGAATTCCCAAGTTCACTAAAGTGTACGACAAATAACAACTACACTACAGCTTGGTTTGTCCACTCCACCTGCTTTGAATAATTCAGTAAGAAACAGTAACTGCAATAAGCGAGCACTTCCAATTCGCCTCAAGTTATCGAGCCACTAGGCTTCTTGTTGCTGACATCCACGCCGAATTTATCCACCGCTATGATCAGGAGAGGCCACAGTCCATTCTCCTGAAGAATCACAAACGATGTGCTGATCAAATACACACACAGGCACACACACTATGGTGGACCAGATAGAATGCGATCGAGGCACATACATATAGGGGCCACGACGACTACACGGCTGGTCCACGCCGCTTCGAGACTCGCATCGCCTTTGAATGGATGTGACCTATTTCGGAGTTGCACGTGCCACACACACCCTGGGCTAATACGCACAGTGTTTGGGTGCATGATTCGATCATAGGGGTCTAAGAGCCAACCAGTCGAGTTTAATTTATTTTGATTGTGCTCCGTTGCTGGAACCAATCCTGCAACTAAACATTACCACAACGATTAAACTTCCCAGTTAGGACTGACGTTGTTCCGAGGCGAGAGGCCAGGCTGATGAGCTTGTGCCCCGCCAATTCTGCGATATCACCCGGACTTGGAAGTTAGCTCTGCAATGGCGCTCGCTCACCGATACGCAAATGATGGAATTTCATCAAGCTCATCACGGGCCTTCACACAGAGGTGAGCTCACGACCATACTTGTGATCATCTTCATAGAACCATTCTCTAGACAAACACGCTAAACGTTGATTGTGAATATACCGAATGATAATTGACCACATGTGAGCCTGTATAGAAAATAAAATAGAAATACAGAGTACATTGAACATCGGGCCATCATTATACACGGTGTGTGCGTGAACCCCCATGGCGTGGGGAACCTACCGCGCAGCACAGTTTTGAATCTCATCAAAGCCAGATGATGTAAAAGCTCAAACAGGCGAACATTCAAGCCATACAATTTCTGCACCACCGTCATCTACAAGTTGACCTAATGCACTGCACCAGAATGCCAAACAACATGCGTGGGAGCATTAGTTGAACTTAGCACAGTCACGCGGACCGTCCACCCCGTCACCCCAGGCAAGGAGCAACTGTTTCCTGGAGCCACCAGTATAGTCGCAGTAGCGGTTTTTCGACAGGTATACATCTTGTTAATGTATGGTTGGCAGCATCCGGTTCCGGATTTGCCTGTCGCTGCGGCCAATACGGGACAGCCACAGGACGCCTGCGTCTACAGAGGGACCATGGGTGACTTGCGTTGCACCAACCACAGCTCCATTCACACACCTCATATCCAGTGTAAATCCGAGAGAATATAAGACCGGGAGGCAAATGGATGGGAGCCACGTTTCACCAACGGAGCCGGCCCACACTCCTTCAACATGCACATCAGCATTCCTGTCTATCTATATAGGGAATCGTGCATACACAAAGCGATGGCTGGACCGTAACCCGCTTCACAGTGGGTGCGTGGGACAAGTTTTTAAGCCTAGCACGGTCAAGAGAACCGGGCGCCCTGTCCCCCAGCAACTTTTCACAGTCTGCTGATGCCAGTAATCGAGGTGGAGGGTGTTAGCTAGGCATGTACCTTGTGAACATTCATGTCAAACGCAGCCACACTGGAGATGTTACTCAACAACCAGCCCCTGAATTGGAAGAAACTCAAGATGCGGGCACGCGTACAGACAGCCTTTTAGGCTTGAGTCAGTAGATTAAAACGGAAGCGGCGTAGTTATCAAGCGTTGCGCTGATGATGCTTACATATTTAGCTAACTCATGTTCCTTATATGTTGTTCACTACTTGACAACGCTGGTGGCTTGCCAACCTGGTTTGGCTGAGGCACTCGCGACCACTTGTGCAACAGCAGCATGTGCTTTATGTCGACGGACTAGAGTCCATCAATGCCTGTCGCTCCCTCGACCGACTTATCTCCCATGCATACATTAGGGCTTTCTCCTACATCTGCATAACCGCCCTCTTGATATGTTCACAACATTCACGTCTATGAACTGCCCTTGATGCCCAACACCTGAAAGTTCGTGATAAACGCACTTTGATCATGTTCTTGCAAAGTAACTCCAGTTTTCCCACGAGCCACTTCTGTGCATTTAGTTGACCATATAGCAGCTGCTTGATTATCCGCTTCGAATCCATGCGGCAGAAGTATGCAGTCCATTGCATACATGCCACTGCGGCGCAACGCTTCTGTGTCTGCAACTCGGTCCCTCCAGCTGATGCGCACATTTTGACGCAGTCACTGTTTTTGGAAGCGCTGCAGATAACGGACGTGCTTTCCGTACAGCGTCCACATTCTGCTGCCGTAATGAACTTTGAACCAATGACATGATTTGGATAAAACATGTCAAGGCTTAACATGTCTAGTGGGATGGTCTGTGTAATTTCAAAAGCGATGTTACACCAAGGTGAAAGGCGCATCTGTCAAATCATAATATCCACGTTAACGCACATATTTATCCGTTTACCCCGAGTTCGTGAGAGTTGTCGAGCACAATGCTTGTATCTTGTCGTCACTCGATGGGCAGAAATCAAATCAACTAATCCAGGCGGTGTAATGCGTAGTCGAGTCGTATTTTTAGTGGGCAGCTTGGACGCAATAGTAACAAAGGTCGAAAGAGCGTTCCACGGTTAACAAATTCAATGAGAACAATAATTTCAGCGACATTCCAACCCAGAGTGGCTAGTTTCATCCGATGACCCATCAATTTTGCGTTGCGCATGATTTCCAGTGGGTGGCGACAAGCGTAACCGGAGTTTTCCAATATCGGGTAGGCCAGAATGAGGTCGCCCCGTGAACGGCAATAACTTTGGAGGTACACTCCTAGGGTTTTCATTCGCATCTTGGTCGCCCTTCTCTGTGCTGTCTCTAATGCAACCAGCTCAAGTTTTAACTAGGGTCGCCAGGCTTGAATCCCATACTCTACATGAGGTCTCACGCACTGAACATTTGGGGGAAGATGGAGGGGTCGAAGCGCCAAATTGCCCTCCGTGAGAGAACAAGGTATTTGTTTGCGGTTTTGGATGCCTTCAATGACAGTGCCGAACTGCCGCGATCGTCCCGCGTCATCAGACGAAGGTCACGTCCCTGTGAAGCGGTCTTCAATATGAGATCTCCAAGAATCAATGCGTAAGTGTGCTTTTGGCGTACGTGCACAGTCGCATATTTTGCAGTGTTGAACGGAAGTGGATTCGCCTTTGACCATTCAAAAGCAAGGGCAAAGTTCCTTTACAGCAGATAGTGGTCTTCCTGACAACAGATTGCCCGGCATCTCCTGAGATCAACTGTAAGAAGCAGGAAATTTGTGTCAACGACAATTTGACGAAGACCAAGAATAAGCGCGGACCAAACACTGACCACTGTGGAACACCATAGACAACATCAGTGGGATCGCAAAATGACCCACGGAACCTAACGTGAGGTCGCCTCTGAAGATGGAAATTTCTGATACATGCATGAACAGCATTCCCGATTCCTTTGTTTGCAGCTTTTAGTCAAGGATACGATGATCTAGGCAGCCGACGATTTTAGAAAAATCGTGTTAGATGACATCAGTACCGGTCCCACTATCGGTTCTCTCGGTCCAACTGTGACGCGGAATCAGTAGATCGGCAGTACATGATTGATGCTGACGGAATCCGTGTCGCTTCGATGTTATGATGAAAGACTTTTCTAGATAACCAGTGAGTACTCCAGCTGTGATCGATTCTATCGCCTGAGGGCACATGAAGGAGTATTACTAGGTGATAGTTGGCAAGCTCCGAATAGCTATTACCCTTGAAAATCGGGTAATTATACCGTGCTTTTACACGCTGGTAGCCAACTGTTCTTCCATGCATCTTTGGGAAATTAGTTTCTTGGCTCAGCTAGCCTCGTAGCTGCCACCTGCAGTGCTTTTGGTGGAATGTTCTCAACACCGTGGAAACTATGAATGCACAATGATAGCGGCTTCCTCAAAACGGTCGCTGAACTAATAGTGACATGTGTAAGTACTGGCCTCTGTGGGAATGGAACAGGTATGTAACACGTCCTGGTGGTGCATTGGCATCATGCTGTAGCCGTAGAACATCTGCTGCATCCTCGCCGATTTTAGCATATCCATTTGCTAAGATGAGTAAGGAAACACCACACTGCCCATTCCAGAGTCTTTTCACATGTTTGTAGGGAAGCTGGCTGCCAACGCAAACCTTTCCGCTAGGTTGTGCTGGCGTACTAAGTTACCTTCACGGACAGGTGTGGAACAGTGCTTACGCTGCTTTATATAGATGTTTCAGATCTCAGGGCTAGGGTTCGCTCTGTACAAATGTCAGGCTGCGTCTCATACCGCCATGCGTTTTCGGGTTCTGCTTCGAATGAATAAGTTAATCTTGAAGAACGAAGTAGCCT